TAGACAATATGCGACTTCAGTTCAAGACAAGCTTTAAGTATAGCCAGGCAACTGTACAGCTTTTCTGTTCTTGATCTCACTGCCAGTGTTGGCAAGATTTTTGAGAGAGTAGGACTAAAGTATTCCTTGAATTAAAAGCCTTTTCTATGCGCAAGGTTCGATAAAATCCATTTGCACAGTCATATGGTAAAAACGTTATTCTCAAAAATGTATTTATTTGCATTTTTAGAGAACATATTTGTTGTTCTTTGCACTTTTCGACATTCTTTATTTTCCTTTTCTAACTTTCTCTCCTCAACTTATAGCTGGTTTTGTTGCGCCATGAGAATGTATTCAATATGGTAGTTTTGCACCTTTTCTCTACCAACGCCTGTATCTGGGCTGATTCAGCCGTCAGCAAAATTACAAGTGGCATCCTGCAGGCCAGCCACAATGACCCATCCAGTCATGGCAGCGTTTCAGCTAACACCAATTCCAAAGCCATTAATTACCTTGAGCATGCATTCAGTGAGGAAGAAAATTTGGCCACCAACCTTCTTGTGGACACGGATAATTGCACCAAGCTTGATTTCTCGATCCGAGCCACCGGCTACTTCCTGCCTGCAGTGGCAGAGTTTACTGCAGTAGTGGTGGCCATCATATACGAGATAGCCAAACGCATTGGACACCCAAAGCAGATTGAAAACATATCACTGGTAATTTTTATAATTTGCTAATTGTGTGTAATTCCAGATAGGATCAGCATAATATGATAAATTTTCGAAGTTTAGAGGAGTGGATTGGAATAAAATGGCGAAAGGCTTAACAAATATCATAGGGAGAAAACATATGAGCAAACTATTCTTTCAAAGTATTACAGTATCAGATTTACCATTTAATATGTTACTAATACACAATGTATATAGTTGGAAAATGCACGTTTAGAAAACTTTACAGACAGGAAATGGGTCTTATTATTATTTAAGCACCCATTTAACCACCATGGTATAAATCGACATTTAATTTCCAAGGAAAGGATAGCTAAATAGTTCTTATCGCAAACCAAAGGAGATTGTCTTTGAATGAAGACTGTGTAGGAAGGTGTCATCGGCTGACATTCCATTGACTTAGATGAATCGGCGTATTATTATTTCCAGGTTTTGTATTATTGGTA